TTATCAACAAGACAAGCAATAACAAGTGTTGGAGAGGTTGTGGGAAAAAGGAACCCTCGTTCACTGCTGGTGGGAATGTAGACTGGTAAAGCACTATGGAAAGAAGTCTGGCGATTCCTCAAAAAATTAAGAACAGAGCTACCATATGACCCAGCAATCCCACTCCTGGGTACATACCCGAAAACCGCAAAATCATGTACTTGCAAAGATATATATACATATATGTTTATTGCAACATTATTCACCGTGCCAAGATATGGGAACAAACAATATGTCCCACAATAGATGACAAGATAAAAAAGATGTGGTACCTATACACAATGGAATACTATTCAGCCATAAGAAAGGACAAAATAGTGCCATTTGCAACATGAATGGACCTTGAGATCACTATGCTTAGTCAGAAAAACCTAATATATGATTTCACTCATATGCGGAATATAAAACTGAAATTTATGAACACAAACAGCACTGTGGTGGTTGCCAGAGGGAAGTGGGAGAGGGAAGATGGAGGTTCTAATATATGGTGACTGAGTTTTGACTTGGGGTTGTGGGCATATGGTGAAATATACATATCTTGTAACATATATTGTATTCTTCTAGGAATTTTTCCGTTTCATCCACACTGTCCAGCTTGTTGGCATATAGTTGTTCATAGTATTTTCTTACAATCCTTTGTATTTCTGTGGTGTCAGTGGGTACTTTTCCACTTTTATTTCTGATTTTATTTATTTGGGTCCTCTCTTTTTGTTTCTTGATGAGTTTGGCTAATGCCTTATCAATTTTGTTTATCCTTTCAAAGAACCAGCTCTTGGTTTCATTGATTTTTTTAATTGTTTTTTTAGTCTCTAAGTCATTAACTTCTGTTCTAATCTTTATTATTTCCTTCCTTCTACTTACTCTGGGCTTTTCTTGTTGTTCTCTTTCTTTAAGTTGTAGGGTTAAATAATTTATTATTAATTTTTCATGTTTTTTGAGGTAGGTCTATAGTGCTATGAACTTCCCTCTCAGGACTGCTTTTGCTGTGTCCCAGAGATTTGGGTTGTTGTGTGTTCATTTGCATTTGTTTCCAGAAACTTTTTTATTTCTTTCTTGATCTCATTGGTAACCCATTCATTGTTTAATAACATGTTATTTAGCCTCAATGTATTTGAATGTTTTTGGGTGTTTTTACTATAGTTGATTTCTAATTTCATTCCACTGTGATCTAAGAAGATGCTTGACATGATTTCAATCTTCTTGAACTTGTAGAGACTTGTTTTGTATCCTAACATGAGGTCTATTTTCGTGAATGACCCATCTGCACTTTAGAGTGTATATTCTGCAAGCTTTGGAGTGAAGTGTTCTATGAATGTCAATTAAATCCATCTGGTCCAGTATGTCCTTTAGAGTCACTGTTTCCTTGTCAATATTTTGTTTGGAAGATCCAGTGAAGTCAGCAGGGTGTTAAAGTCTGCCGGGGTTCTTGTTCCAGCATCTAGAAGGGTTCAGCAATCTGGAGAAGGGGCTGTGAGTAACTTAATAAAGAGTCCAGAGACGAAGCATAATTTTGAAAGGCATTTGGGGGTCAGAGGAGCCTAGCTAAAGAAACTAAGATCTCCTAGTTTCAAGACCCATTCTTTTTATTAACACAAATTGTCCTGAGGCAAGGCAGAGATAGACACTTCAAAGGGGTAGGGTTTCATATACACAGTCCATTGTCAGATTTGAGGAAATGCCTCCGGCTGTTCAGGTGTTTGGCCAGTAGGAGGCAATAACATGTAGATTAAGATGCCCTGAGCTGTCTGGCAGCAAGCAATCATTTTAATGCATCCTTTTCAGGTTTGGGGAAATGCCCTTGCTACTCCAGATGATTCAGCCCTTGCTGACATGCTGGAATTGGCTCCCGGCAAAAGTCCCCTACTAAGATTGTATTGTTATCAATCTCTCCCTAAAAGTCCTCTAGAAGTTTTAAAATATATTTAGGGGCTCCTATATTGGGTGCATATATGTTTACCAAAGTTATATCCTCTTGTTGGATCGATCCCTTTAGTATTATGTAGTGACCTATGCTGTCTCTTGTGATGGCCTTCATTTTGAAGTCTATTTTGTTGAATATGAGTATTGCTACTCCAGCTTTTTTCTTTTCCATTTGCATGGAAAATTTGTTTTCATAACCCTTCACTCTCATCCTGTGTGTGTCTTTTGTTCTGAGGTGGGTCTCTTGTAGATAGCATATAGTTGGGTCATGTTTTCATAACCATTCAGCTACCCTATGCCTTTTTATTGGAGCATTCAATCCATATACATTTAAGGTTATTATTAATAGGTACTTATTTATTGCCACTTTAATTCTGTATGGCTAGATTTCTCTCTCTCCTTCTTATTACAGCAGTCTCTTCAGCTTGCCATCACAAGAGATAGCATAGGTCACTACATAATACTATTTTTTGTAATGCTTGCTTGGTGGTGATGAACTCCTTTAGCCATTTTCTTTTTGTATGGGAAGCTCTTTATTTCAACGTCTACTTTGATAGCTTTGCTGGATTAGTACTTCATGCCATTCCCTTCTGGACTGTAGAATTTCTGATGACAAATCAGATGACAGATTTATGAGAGCTCCTTTGCAGGTAACAGTTTGTTTTTCTCTTGTTGCCTTTAAGATTCTCTCTTTGTCTTTAATGTTTGGCATTTAAATTGTGATATGTCTGGGTGTGGGCCTGTTTGGGTTCTTGCTTGGGACTCTCTCCGCCTCCTGAACTTGTGTGACTCTTTCCTTCACCAGGTTAGGGAAGTTTTCTGCCATTATGTCTTCAAACACATTCTCTATCCCTTCCTCCCTTTCTGCCTCTTCTGGAACATCTGCTATTCATCTATTGTTATGTTCCATGTTGTCCCAAGGCTCCTTTAAGTGGTCCTCCTGTGTTTTTTTGTGTTGTTGTTTTTTTTTTGGTTCTCTGATTTGAGTGATTTTTTTCCTACCCTGTCTTCCAATTCACTGATCTGATCCTCATCTTCTCCTAATCTGCTGTGTATTCCTTCCAATATGTTCTTTATTTGTGCTATGTCATTCTATATTTCTGTTTTCATAGTTACTATATATTTTCTCATGCTGTTGAGCACCTTTACCATTATTATTCTGACTCTATATAATATAAATTTCTTATCTCCATCTCATTTATCCCTTCTTCAGGAGAATTCTTTTGTTCTTTCATTTTGGGTGCCTGTTTGGGTTTGTGACTATGTTTTAGGTAGATCTGCTATGCCTTGTGGGAAACTGTTTATTGCCTTCACTATCTGATAAGGGTAGACAGAGAACCCTCACCCCCCCAAGGCTGGGTGCTTTTGAAGCCCTAACAAAGGTCAGAGCCAGGTGCCACCTCTGTCCAGACAATGGTAGCTGAAACTACTCCCCCATTTATTATTATGTAAATCCTTGCTGATGGGCTAGTCTGCCTTTTGCCAGGGGTCGCCTGCCTAAGGGCTATGCTATGAGTGCATTCCAGATCAATAAAAACTTGGTGAGGCCTAAGCACGGGTGGAAGTCCTTCCCCTTGAGTTGGACTTGCCCGCCTGGTCCCCCAATATTTCCAAATTATCTCTTGTCTTTTCATTTTCATTTGTGTGCGGCTCTGCTTCCAGTTCCTGAACCCTGATCCACGCGGGACGTGGGAAGGAAACACCCAACAATGCCTCTCAATCTCTAGTGCAAGACAGTGTCAAACTAAAAGCAACATTTTTAAAAAAGGCAAAAGAGATTTAGATTTCTTGTATGAATTAAAATGTAAGAAAGTCTAATCTTTTTAGTAACCAAAAAAATGTACATCAAGCCATGGATTTTTCTATCAAATTATTTTTGTTAATATTTTTTAAGATAATGCTCACTATTACTAATGTATTAGTGAAATGGACACTACCAAATGACAAAGAAGCATTAATATTCGGCACAGTTCATATATAGATTCTTTATTGAGGAAATAAAATTCAGACACATATTTATAATAAAACCCTGGAGAAATTAAAATAAGGATACAATTACAAATAAACCATAGTATAGCCATATAATAACACTGTTGAGCAATTAAAATGGCTCAAGATACTTTCTACCAACATGGGAAAATGCTTGGGATTTGATATGGGAAAAGCAGAAGGCTACACTATGCATGCAGGAGAAGGAGCATATCATTACAAGCTTTGGAGTCAACCCAAGGCTGGATTCTGGCTCATTTGCTTAACAGCCCTGGAACTTCGGGCAGGCCATAGCACGATTCTTTTTCCACATTCAGGGGTGGACAAAAGTAGGTTTACAGTTGTGAGTATGAAAAAAAAAATTATTCTTGTATTATTATTTTTTATTGTCTTATTTATTTACTATTATTATTACTAACCTACTTTCACCAAAAAGGTATGCAGATTTGACTCCTGGTCAGGGGGAGTGCTGGAAGCAACCAATCGATGTTTCTTCTCATATCTATGTTTTTCTCTCTTTCTCCCACCGTCCCTCCCTCCCTTCCTCTGTCTCTAAAAATCAATAAGAACATATCCTTGGGTGAGGATTAAAAAAAAAAGAAATGTGAATATATCTTTTGGGGAGGTCACCATCCAACCCACTGTAGCTCCCACACCATAATTCCTAGAAGTGTCCAAATTATCAGTCAGCTTTAGACTTTTATATGTGAAATTTCATTATGAATTCAGCATTCTAGGTCATCTACCTTCCCATAGAAAGCTAGAAGTAAGTTCTCATGGGTGGGTAGGCATCAGACCTGTTAGACAATAGGGACAGATGTGTATGACACAAGCCCCACTTCTATAGGCCATGAAGTTCAAATCCAGGGGGACTACGTAAAAGTGAAGTCAGACACTTGCTCTGTCATAACCGTTCTTTATCACAGGAACTAGACTGGTGTCTTGTGCACGGGACGACCAATCAAGCACAAAATGCAACACAAACCGGACAGGGCGGAGTCGGACAGCGCACCCGCCAGGCTCTGATGACAACAGGGCACGGGGGCACTCACCTTCAATGTAGAGGGGCTCCACCACATCGTGGTTGATCAGCTCGAAGTTCTCGTGGCCGATCCAGTGCTCCACGTTTCTCTTCCTGCCAGTGAAGAAGTTGTCCACCACAGTCACTTCATGGCCGTCCATCATGAGCTTGTCGGTGAGATGGGAGCCCACGAAGCCCGCTCCTCCAGTTATCTGCAGCGTGTGGGACATCCCAGAGAAAGCACAAGAGAACGGGGACAATTAACTTCAAGAAGACGTATTTCTGGGGCAGCCACAACTGAGACGTCCTCAGGACCAGGGAAGGGAGGGTGGAAAAGGCTTTACAGCAGCATCCTTACTGCTCACTCCAGGGCAAGAGGTCACACCATCGGTCAGCTCCCAAACAGTGAAAACTGCAACTACCACCCAGCAAATAAGTCAGAAAAATAGTAACTGCAACTACCACCCAGCAAACAAGTCAGAAAATTTTACATTCTTAAAAGGTTCTTGAAGCATTATTCCAGACAGCCCAGATGTAGACCTAAGTTTCAGTGCGTGGAGGAACACACAAAGATGCCCGTGGTGTGGTGTACGTGCAGTAGAATATCCAGCCCAAGGGAAGGGAAGTCCTGGCCCTGTGGAGCCATGGGTGCACCTGGAGGGCGTCCTGCTGAGTGAGCCAGGCAGAGAAAGACCAACACTGCTTTCACTCTGCTTGGAACGTAAAGGTCAAAGCACAGTGGTGGCTACCAGGGAGGGGAGGACAGAAGATGTGGTTTAGTGGTTTAGGGTACAAACTTGCAACTACTAGGTAAGTAAGTCCTGGGATTATAAACAACAGAACTGTCATATAAACACTAAGCTAGCAAGAGACCATATCTTAATTTGTTCCCAACAGTAGAAGAAATGACAACTGTGTGACAAGATAGAGGTCTAAGTTAATGCTACAATGGCAGCCATAACGCAATATAAATGTGTGAAGTCAATATATTGTACACCTTAAATTTACACAATGTTGTATGTCAAATATATCTTGATTTAAAGAACACAAAAAAAGGTTCTTGTTTTATAATGAATGGGATGCTGACCATCACTTATATAGTTCTAATATGACTACTGCCAAGTTTTAGAATTACTACTTCTTCTTTTTTTTTTTTTTAAGTGATTAGCAAAATGCAGAGATCTGGGGAACTAGCAAAAAAAAAAAAAGATGATATTTAAAATGGACTCAAGAACCCCATGAAAAATTAGTATCTTTCAAATGGTTCATAAGAACAAATTAATGAACAATATATGCTGTTTGCAGACCAAAGCTCTAAACGCACAAGTTCCACTGGCCGGGTACTGTCTGAGCAGGAAGGCAAACAGAGAAATAGTGCCTGTGAGGGCCTGTAGGGGACGCGAGAGCAGCAACAACTGTTCTAAAACTTACACCGTAACAATGGAAAAGTTACATTTAAAAATTTTTTAACTAATAAAAAGACTTTATTCAAATGAAGTGGTGTAACTGAAGCGCTAGACACAGCATATTTCATTCCTGGGAGGTGGCAGTGAAAAAAATAAACTTGAAAACAGACGTATGATGGGACTGTTCTCTGTCCTACTTTCCCACTCCTCCTTCTCTCCATCAAAACTTGCATCATCTCATGCCCTTCTTCCAAAGTGAAAATATTTACAGTAGGGGAAAAAAAATTATTTTTACCTAAAATAAAAAGTACAAAAAGACCTAGGTCTATACTTTTAGAACAGTTAATTTGCCATGAAGTCCTGTTCAAATAAAATATGACACATGTCCAGGTTTATCCCAGATAAGAATTGGCTGTTCTGGGTGGAAAAGGTCGAGCAGGAGGGGTACTGCCTGCCTTAAGAAGAACCGTGTGTCAACCACTGATTAGGTACTGACATGTGCTCTGATGGAAACACAAATATGGGTTAGAGTATGAAGGGTTGGAAAATCCTGGTACTCCAACAGCTTTCTATCAGCTATACTCATTCTTTACTGAGAGCACCATTTTCTAAGTCCCTCTGTTTAGAGGTGGATCCAGAGGAACTGAGGTTTTGATCAAGATCCACGATCACTAATAATCTATAATAATAAAAGTGTAATATGCTAATTAGACCAGACAGCTAAAAGATCTTCCAGACGAAGCTGCCGCAGCAGGGGCCAAGGCAGAGGTGGTTAGGGAAGATCAGGCAGGCAGGCAAGCAGTTAGGGGCTATCAGGCAGGCAGGCAGAGTGGTTAGAGGTGATCAGGCAGGCAGGCGAGTGGTTAGGGGTGATGAGGCACGCAGGCAGAGTGGTTAGAGATGATCAGGCAGGCAAGCAGTTAGGAGCCAGCGGTCCCAGATTGCGAGAGGGTGCAGGCCAGGCTGAGGGACCCCCCTCCCCCCGCCCCCCACCCCATGCACAAATTTCGTGCACCAGGCCTCTAGTGATATATAAGCCCACAGTCTTAATTCCATGTTCTCCCCACTACCTGTTCATCTGTCCAGTTTGTGTTTTAGCTTTAGCACTCCTATAGTGTGCTGTATAGATTTTTACAGAGAATTTTCTGAAAAAATAACTAAACTTCAAATTGATTCACCACTAGGTGAGAATTCATTTTACTTTACCTTTATTTGATTGTATTTCTCATGTTTTCCACAGTTTTCAAATGAGAAAAATTACACCTTTTTAAAGGAAATGTAACTTCTTCTACTGTAACTATATCTATGTGCAACTGTTTGTTAAATAAGATGTTCTGTGCCATGCTAACTCTACCTCAGAAATGCAGATCGTGTATTAAATTATACACGATCACCTCCAACACTTCCCTAGTTTTAGGAAGAACATAAAACTGCTGGAAGCACCTTAGTGTTGTTTAAAAAGGACTTGAACTGTTTTTCTTGAACAATGCCTTTCTATCTAAAATACTAAAAGATTTATGTGACATAGCTGGATGGTTATAATGGCTTTCCTAATGAAGTTCAGCCCATTAAGCAAGCATTTAAAATAGAAACAAAGCTGGCGGAAGCATACCTCTGAGGAAGCTCGCTCAGGAAGACTGATCAGCAAGCCCAGGCGTACCCCTGAATAACAAGGAGCTAATCTAATAGCCAGGAGACAGTGGGAAGAAGAGATATAGACCTCTTACACAGCTTGGCATGGCTCTGCAGTTTATGAGCTCATCTATATGTGCTTGTAGTTCTTGCTCTTTCGGGAATTAACTGGCAACTAAAGTGATCTAGTTCAAGGTCAGCATTCAAAGTCATGCTGCTTGGTAAACCAGCAAAAACTTCTCCAACAAAACCCTGTCTTTGTTCTGTGGCTTCAACAATTACTGACAAGGCTTTTAAATTTCACAACAGTATGCCAGACTTGGGCACCAAAGTGACTTAACCTATGAGGTGGCAGATGAATGAAAAATTGAGTCCACTTATTGTGGTTATGCATAGAGTGAAATAAATCCAGTAATACTCAGCATTGCCAGGAAGAGCATCCTACATGGAAACAGTAATAATAACCTTTGAAGACTGTGCAGGATCACAAATTAGTGCAGAGCACCATACTTTCTGATCACAGTGACACAAAAAGAATAGAATTATCTTTCCTCTGCAGCTGAAGACGCTGATATAGTCCTCAATTCGAACTTAAATGCAAAACAATTTTGATGTGATGATGGGTGTACAAGTAAATAGACTTTAGATCTGCTCAGGGTGAGATTTATGTAAGCCATCTAAAGGCAAAAGACCTTCTGTAACTATTTATGTGGGGGAAACAGAATTAATATTGATTCAGGAGTGTGACTTTGGTGTTTGGGGTACATACTCCTACAACCTAGATCAGTGATGGCGAACCTATGACACGTGTGTCAGAGGTGACACGCGAACTCATTTTTCTGGTTGATTTTTCTTTGTTAAATGGCATTTAAATATATACAATAAATATCAAAAATATAAATCTTTGTTTTACTATGGTTGCAAATATCAAAAAATTTCTATATGTGACACGACACCAGAGTTAAGTTAGGGTTTTTCAAAATGCTGACACACCGAGCTCAAAAGGTTCGCCATCACTGACCTAGATGATGAGTGGAAAAATAAGAAACAACCTTGTGTACTAACCCTTTCTATTAAGGTCACAGATAAGACATTTTTCCAGATGGTAGTGTGAGGTGCTCTGTAGACCTGTTCCCCAGCAAAACAACCATAACTGGTGAAACTTAATTGAAAAATGAACAACCATTAGCCCTGGTCAGGTGGCTCATTTGGTGGGAGCACTGTCCCATGCACCACCTAGTTTTGGGTTTATTCTCTGGTTGGGGCACATAAGAGAGGCGACCAACCAATCAATGTTTTTCTCTCACATTGATTTTTCTCTCTCTCCCCCTTCCTTTCTCTAAAAAAGTCAATAAACATATCCTCGGATAAGGATTTGAAAAAAACAACCATTTAAAGTCTCTAGAAATTATCACAAGAGTATACAACAAATGAAGAAACATTTATGCAAGAAATATATTAAAATTCAGTAAGAGTCTGTGACACTTATGCCATGGCTCGCTCCCCCCCTTCAACCTTCCAGACTCACAGTTCACAGTGGGAGAGTGGCGGGCGTGGCCAAAAAAAAATGGAGCTCCCAGTCAAAAGATGGAATCTCACCAGGAAGGCAGCCACCAGCAACTCTCATCTCCTCCAGCTGTGAGCAATAGAGGCTAAATTCCTGGCAAGCGAGCCAGGTGGTGAAGAGCTCCCTCCCTCCACCCACAGGGCAGCAGCTCTACCCCAGGCACAGCAGGCTGTGACCAATGAGACTGGTCTCCTTGTCCCTGTTTGCTCACAGGTGGAGATTCCTATGACCAAAGAGGCGAGAAGACGGGGCCTCTGCACCTGCCCAGCTCCTGGCCTGTAAAGAGCAGTGCTATTCCCTCCTAGCTCCAGAGCAGTGGCTGAGGTCTCCCCAAGGGCAGGGGCAGTCATACACATAGAGAGCTACAGAGCTGCCCCCCAAATCAACTTCACGTGAAAGAAAGTATAGGGAAGTTTAAGCATAAAGGTGCTCTCAAAACACTGGAGATGGGGGTGGTAAGCAATACAAAGGAGGCTGGTAGCTCTATGAGGACAAGCTAAACCACAAGCCAGCAAGTTCAATAGGAAGACCCAGAGGAAGAGGCATCTAAGAGCCCTCCTGGGGTCAGAGCAAACCTCAAAGACTGGCCTCAAAATCCACCTCTGCAAAGAATTTAATGGACCAGATGAGGAACAGTTTATAACCCAAAGCATTATTGAAAGAACAGTTCACTCAACTGGCAATTACTGGGGCCTAACAATTGGTGTGACACCACACAAGGCAGACGGCTTAATAGGGACATCAGGGAACGAGATGGTCAGTACTAGCAAGAGCTCTGCTAGAACCACTGTCATCCCAGGGTGAGTGTGTCCATGCCCAAGTCTGTGCTCTCCAAGGGGCATCCACGGAGCTTCACAATTCAGGGGACACAGATGTCACTAAAGCAGACCAGCCAAGTCACTAAACAAACAAAAATAAAACTAGTCTCCCGGGGAGAGGAGAACAGTATCCAGACTTGCTACAATATACTACATAAAATGTCCAATTTTATACAAAAGTATGCGCTCTGCAAAGAAACAGGAATACGTGACCTGTACAGAAAGACACACAGCCAACAAACACTGCCTGTGTTCCTCAAAACAACCATCACAAATATGCTTGAAGAGCCCTGGCTGGTGTTGCTCAGTGGTCATAGAGGCAGCCCTTGCACTGAAGGGTCTCGGAGCTCAATTCCCAGTCAAGGACATGTACCTGGGTTTGGGTTCGCTCCCAGCTCCCAGGTCAGGGCACATGCAGGCGGCAACCAGTTAATGTATCTCTCTCTCTCTCTCTCTCTCTCTCTCTCTCTTCTTTCTTTCTTTCTTTCTTTCTTTCTTTCTTTCTTTCTCTCTCTCTCTCTCTCTCTCTCTCTCTCTCTCTCTCTTTTCTTTCTTCTTTCTTTCCCTTCCTCCCTTCCTCCCTCCCTCCCTTCCTTCCTTCCTTCCTTCCTTCCTTCCTTCCTTCCTTCCTTCCTTCCTTCCTTTTCTTCTTCTTCTTCTTCTTCTTCTTCTTCTTCTTCTTCTTCTTCTTCTTTTCTCTCTCTCTCTCTCTCTCTCTCTCTCTCTCTCTCTCTCTCTCTCTCCCCCCCCCCGCCCCCTCCAAAATGGTCTGTGAACCAGAAAAGGTTTTAAAAGCCACTACTCTGGAAAAGTTTCACATTTCCTCAAAAAGTGATACACCCAGCAATTCCACTCATACTGAAAAGGTACATACTGAAAAGAACTGAAAACCTATGTCCTCACCAATACTTGTACACATTATGTTCAAAGAAGCATTATTCAAAGTAGAAACCCCAAACGCCATCAACTGCTAAATAGATAAACAAAATGTGGCACATCCATACAGTGGAATATTGTTCAGGAATGAAGTACTGATTCATGCTACAGCATGGATGAACCCTGGACAAATTATTCTAAGTTTAAGAAATTAGATACTAAAGACCACATATTCCATCATTTTGTTCATATGAAATGTCCAAATCAGGAAAAGCCATAAAGACAGAAAGTGATTTTAGTGGTTGCCAGGAGTTAGGGGTGGGAAGAAGTATGGAAAATGACTGCTAATGAGCATGAAGTAATTTCTTTTTGGTGTGATGAAAATATTCTAGAATTATAACACGGTGCTGCTTACAGCTTTGTGAATACACTTTGTGAATGGTAAACCACTGAATTGTATATTCCATAAGGGTGAATTTTATGGTGTGTGAATTAAAACTCAATTTAGAAAACAAATTCCTTAATACTACAAATATTAATCAGATATGCAAACTTACCAAAATTCTTTTACGATCCTTTTCGGATAAAAATTTTACAGGTGGGTATTTCTGGGTGAAGCTGTATAATACAAAGAGATTAAAGAAGAAAAAGTCAAACATCTCACATGAGTATTTTCTCTGCTTATTACCAAAGCAAAGGCCAGATTTTAGAACTTACTATTTTTGTTCTTCTCTTGCTACTCCAAGTAGTGGGGCAGGAACCAAGCAATCAGTAGCTAATTTGAATTCAAGAAATAGCTAATCTGCTCCTAGTTTCGAATCAAGTTAAGGGTATGCCTTGAGATTCTATTCCTAGAAGGGAAAATTGAAGAATGTGTAGACTACCAGCAGCCAAAGCTAAACACTAAAGAAGGAAGGTGGCAGCATTGTCACCATGCTGTGTCAAGGCCTGGAAGGAAGAAAGCAGCTGCATAAAGTAGACCCTGTAGGAGACGAGTCTCAGGGGAGTGAAAAAAGACCGCAAAGCTGATCTTCCGGATCCGGGCAGGTTCACAATCCCAGCACCCACCCGGTGGGCAAACTACTAGGCATCAGACTTTCTGTCTCTCACAGTCTCTTTGGAACCTACTACAGGAACCTACTAGGTCTCCTCTTATCTTTCAATGCCTCGTGCCCCAGGTAATGGGGCCATGGGTCCTGACCCACACTAATATTTCAGGAGCAGGTTAGCATAAATCATATATAAGATGTCAAATGAGAGTTGCTAAGTACAGATTTGAAATAACCTTTTTTTAAAAAGGCCTTTTTGTTTGCTGTGGCCTTCCACCACTTATGAGAAGCACCTGGTAATTAAACCTTATGATTGTTAGCTCCACTGTTCAAACTGCAAGACAAGCTACTCTCAAGGCTACATTCTTGCATACCCTGCCCCCCACTCTTTTTACAACTCAGGAATAATTCTTACCAACGAGTCTCTAGTTAGTAGAAAGTTCCCTTTCTCCCACCCCTTCGAACAAGCCCTTTTTGAACTTGTCATAACTTTTGCTCTAAGCATGTTTTACAGGCTCAGGGGGGAGTAGGACATCTGCCTGGACTGTCTCCTGACAGACAGACAAACTCAACTTCACCCAAAATCCTCCTCCCTTCCTTGTCGCTTAGCAACAGTCAAGGATTACAAGGGGAAGCCACTCTTGTTTCTTGCCCTGTGTTGATTAGCAATACTTGGGCCTTTCCCTTCATGGAAAGTATAATAAACTTCCTCTCTGCATCTCTTCTTTTAGTGTGAATTCTTTCACAGTCCTCATCACCAGCCAAACCCTAACAAATTTATTTACACAAATTCCAAGAAACAGGCTTTGTTGTTACTATCTTAATTGGAGAGTTGCTGGGCCAGGGGCCCTGTCTTCATGCCCTCCACATCTCAGCGGGGATACGGAATGCATCAATGGTTGCGGAAGAGAAGAGAATATGACAGGTCGTTGGAAAGAGGGCCTTGAAGCAAGTGTTCCTCACTGAAAGACCCATTAAGTTGGAGGGTGGAGCAGGAGGTCTTTCCTTTACAATCTAGACATTCTCCTATTAGGAGCTTCCAGATTCTCAAAAGGTCAAGTCCCCCTTGCAGACTACAAAAGCAGAGGCAGGCAGGGGGAAGGTGTGAGGGAATGGTGAGAAACTCAGTCTCCCCCTGGTTAGCTCTGTGCATCTCAGCACTTCCTGCTCTGACAGGCAGGGGCCATCTTTTTCCTTTCTTAATTTATTTTTCAATTACACTGGACATACAATACTATATTACTTTCAGGTGTACAACATAGTAGTTGGACATTTATATACCCCATGAAGTGATCACCACAATAGGAGAGCGGTTGTCTTTAGCACACCCCACCATAGTGAGTGCGTTGCTGTGTGGACCAGGGCCAGCTCCACCTGCAGCCAGAGGAATCATGCTGGGAGGCGGGGGAGCCGAAGATAGCTGCCTTCGCTGGGAAGCGACACTTTCTGTTACTGCAAATACTTCCTCAGTCACACAAGTGTAGGACAGCAAAGTAAACCTCAGCAACGCTTGTGTGCTACCCTCACACCAGCCACAATTCCCCTTGTCTTCTCATGTCCACCACTCCAGACCCAATCCCAAATCCCACCAACAGAATGAAGTATCTATACTAATAATAGAGGAATATGCAAATTGTCCTGGATGCCATCACATAACAACCAATCAGGAAGGGGGCAGGGCTGTGGTGGAGAGCTCTCAGCAGGCCGGCAGGGGAGAGCAGTTAGGCAGCTAGGGGGATCAGGCCAGGAGGGGAGAGCAGTTAGGCAGTTAGGGGGATCAGGCCAGGAGGGGAGAGCAGTTAGGGGGATCAGGCCGGGAGGGGAGAGCAGTTAGGGCCATCAAGCAGGCAGGGGAGCAGTTAGGGGCATCAGGCAGGCAGGCAGGTGAGCGGTTAGGAGCCAATGGTTCTGGATTGCGAGAGGGATCCTGGATTGGAGAGGGTGCAGGCTGGGCTGAGGGACCCCCACCCCCCGTGCACAAATTTTGTGCACCGGGCCTCTAGTGAATTAAATAACAAACATTTTCTTACATCCCCAAATTAATTATTTAGTAATTACTTTATGCCATTTCAGACTCCAACCTTATTATTTAATGGGATAGCCAGTAAAGAAGTTTTTCTTAGAGTTTAAAGTATCATTATTTGCTATCTACTCAAAGAACATTTAACAATATTGAAAGAAATTTCAGAGACAAAAAGGCAGTTTTAGGGAAAGGTGGGGGGGAGGGTGGTCCCTGGGAGAGGAATGCATGAGTGATGGAAAGGAGATAGCTCCAAGACGCCAGAATGCTTATCTCACTTTTGCAGAGGATGGAGAAATGTTACAAGGGAAGCATACACTCACAGAGGAGAGAGGAATGTTGCAAGATAAGGGGGAGAGGAAAGGGGGGCATACAGGGGCTCTGGGCTTTGAAACTGCTACTCTGCATAAGAATGACCAATTAAGAAAGCACAAGGGTCATACACTAAGGAAGGTCCAATGAGAAAGGGTCATGAAAAGACAAAGAGCTGCAGCCTTTATAAACCCGGCGACAATGAGGCTCAAAAAGGATTGATTTTTTTTTCCCCCATAAGAGAGAGTGAGCAGGTTTTTCCCATTTGGGGACCCCTCCCCAGGGGATCCCCTGACCGCTGCCCAAGCAAAGTTTGTATATGCTTCCAATAAACTTACACATAGGAAGATATGAACTTACCTCCTCCTCCCAGCTACACATGGAACATGACAAACTACAGCTACATATGGAACAATTTGCTCTGAAAACTAGCTGAACAGCTCCTTCAGGACAAGGATAAAACGGTAGCAGAAGCAGAATACTCGGTCTCACTAAAATGCCCACCCAGGCATAGTGAACGATGGCCAGGAGAGAGCTCACAAATACAGAGCTTCTCCCTGATGCCCCACATCAAGCACCCCAACCCTTGGACTCTGCCTGGGAGACATGAGCCCCCAAAACATTTGGCTTTGAAACACAACAGGGTTTGTGTCCAGGAGAGCCATAGGATGTAAGTAACAGAGATTCACTCTTAAAGGGCTTGTGCTGCCCAAGTTGGTTTGGCTCAGTGGATAGAGCATCAGCCGCAGACTAAAGGGTCCCGGGTTCAATTCCAGTCAAGGGCATATGGGTTGCAGGCTCGATTCCAGGCCCTGGTCAAGGCTCGTGCAGGAGACAATTAGGGCTCTCTCCTCTCCGGGAAGAAAAGGCGCTGGCGAGAGGCACTTTTGCATTCTCCCTCTACCTTTATAGTGTTGGTGGGCACCATTTTTGCACTCTGCCTCTAACCTGCTAACGCCAATGGGCATGCCTGGCACCTGTACCACTCCGACAGCCCCAACAAAGTTAAGTGGCCCCAAGTAGCCCACACAAGGGAACTCCCCAGGCACCTGGCTCCTGTGGCCAGGATGAATTGTGTTTCTGGGCCCCATGGATCTGAAACAATTAGAGACAGTTCTTGGCAAACTATGACCCCTCCAGGGCACAGCACAGACAGCAGACTGAAACACCCAAGTCTTCCTTTGAAAAAGGCCTATTTACTCGTCCTCAGCTTCAGCCTGAGTGGCAGGCTTTCGGTGGATGACTCATCCTGGGGCTAAGGAAGGGTTCCTCACAGAACATGGGCCAAGGGAAGCCATCTTTGCACAGCTTGCCAGGACCTGCCAAAAAAGAGCTCAAACACTTGTCTGAGCCCTGAATTTTTGCATCTATTGCCAAGGAGAAAACCCATAACTCCCGTGGATTCGGAAGTCGGCAGGGTTTGCCACTGCAGTCCCACAGGACTGTGTATGTTTGCATACTGTAAAAGCTGCTACCTGAGGGTCTAGATTCCAATCAGCCTGAAAGCAGGTGCTGACTGAGATCCCACTCTCTGCAACACCACAGGTCTCGGCACCCCTTCAACGAGCCCCGACCAAGAATAAACCAGAATAAACCAGAATGCTTAGACAATCACCAGGTTCAAGAGGCAACTGAGTGTCAGGGAAAGGCTAAGCAAGAAGGTTCATCTCCTGCCTGTGGCCACCCTTCAGGACTGGCAGACAGACAGCTGTTTCACCTAACACACAGAAACAAACAGAGAGTTAAGCAAACGAGGAAACAAAGGAATGCGTTCCAAATTAAACAATAAAACACCAGGAAAGAAAACATAATAAAACAAAGGTAAATAATTTACCTGATTAGATTTTTAAGTGATGATCATAAAGATGCTAACCAAACTCAGGAGAAAAATTTATGAACACAGCACAAACATCAACAAAGAGAAAATATAAGTACCAAACAGATGTCATAGAGCTGAAGAATAAAATACTAAACTGAAAAATACAGTAGGGGGTACAATAGTAGATTAGAAGAAGCAGGAAAAAGAGAATCAGTGATCTAGAAAGACAGAGCAGTAGACCTCATCACAAAAGAGCAGCAAAAAGAAAAAAAAATTAAAAATGGAAGATGACTTAAGGGACCTATAAGAAAATAACAAGTGAAATAACATTCATATTATAGGGGTCCCTGTAGGAGAAAAGAGAAAGGGTCAGAAAAGTTATTTGAAGAAATAATGGCTGAAAACTTCCCCAAACTTG